TGTTGTTGTTGTTGTTGGCAGTGGTGGTCGTGGTGTTGGTGGTGGCGGTGTTGCTTTAGCTGCTGTCGCCTTCGTGGTTGGTCATACGTATTGGGATTGTTATGGAGTGTTGCTGATATGTTTTTGTTCCTTGACTTCGCGAGTCGCGACCGCGCTAACGGCTAGATAGTTGTAGATGAGAGGCTTGTTCGAAACGAGAGCCTTGAATATGTTGGATGTTTCTCAAGATGCCGAGCCCAAGCACAGCCAAGGAACCATAGAATTGGAGGCAGTCTCCGGGCTTCTTCTTGGCTTTTGCGACGCTGTTGTGGAGGCCGGCCGTTCCCCTTTATTCGGACAAACCAGGCAAAGCAACGAACTCCTTGTAGTAAACCATAGCGCATATGAAATTCAACTGCTAATTGATGCTCCAGGGTCCCTCCCTTAGTCTCTGTTCTTGCCTCTGACTCGTTTTGTCTCTCTGTTGCCGTACCGTCCGTTTGTCAGTCTTCTTCTGCCCTCTCTCTCTCTTCTTTGTCGGTCTTTCTTTTTGTTTTCGCTCTCCCTCTCTCTCTCTCTCTCGCTCTCTCCCTCTCTCTCTCTCTCTCTCTCTCTCTCTCTCTCTCTTTCTCCCTTGCTACTGATTCAATCCTTCGCTGCGATGAGCATGGTGGTGCTGACGGCACAGCTTCTTGAGATGCCGCTGACGACAGTGATCATCACAACCGCTGACACTGATAGAGTCAGGATGCGGAGGAGTCTACGGATGGAATCACATCTTCAGGTTATGCTGAAGATGAAGATGTGAATCATGGATGATGACGGACGATGGTGAGAAACATGTCGGTGGCGATTGCTAGGATGTGTCGTCGCCATACCAGCATCAGTCAACCAACGTCATCACTGTTTTGGACATTCGAGCTGCAGTTGCCTCGGGGCATCTGTAATGCAGCTTCAGGCATAGAGTTACCGAAGGAAAGCTGACTCCGTCAGAGTTCCGAAGCATCGAATCGTGAGAGAAGGGTTACCGGAACACACTTGAAGGTGGAGGCGGAGACGCTGCAGCTCACCGAGGACTCCCGACAGCTGTCGACGATGCTTCTTCATGGGCGGCTGTGGCAGCAGTTTGCCGTGTGTAGAAACTAGGGTTCGGATCGAGGCGAAAGGTCCAGGACCTGGTTTTAGATGTGGGTCCTCATCGATAAAGGACTCACTGAGAGGGTGGGCAGATGAGTGAAGCAACGAAACATGCACACAAACAAAAGCCACCTGACTTGTGACCTGGGTAGCGATGGCACCTGAACGGCCCACGAGATTGCAGCGAAATCCTGGCAGTGCGCTAGTCCTCACAAGAAGTCTGCCTTTCACAACGACGAGAAAAGTACACTGGTTCCTCCCAAATGTCTCTTGCAAGAGTTAAGGAGGTGTACCCGTACCCCTGTCTTGATCCTCCATGGCGAGATGCAGCCAGAAACTCCCACACACGCAGCATGACAACTGGCAGGCAGCGGCTAAACTCGGGTGGTTTGGCCTGCAGGAACTTCCTGGGATTCTTTGCTGAAGAGGAGCACAGGGTTCTTTCACAGAGGCTTGGGCATGTATGGTCCGATATGGTCCCTGTGGTGCAAAAGCCCACTCATTTCCCGTGGTGTCTTGCAGAAGAGAGCTCAGCAGTGTCAGATCAAGATCTTCCCTCCAAAACAACACCTTGGTACCTTGATAGTATCGGCTATAGACCCCTTTAAAGGAAACCCAAAACAGTATTGGGAACCATCCCTAAACCCTAAAGCCCTAACGAGACTTCGAATGAAGAAAAGATAAGGAGGTCAGGGCTGCACGTGGCGTAAAGGCCATCACCTGAAACAACCCCTAAATTTGGTACCCGAGGTCATAAGCCCTTTTGCGAAAGCTTGGTTCTTCATACGTTGAAAATGTTATACTTCACTCGAGATATTTCCCCCCTCTGTAGTTCTCGGCGCAGGACCGTGAGCGCATCAAGGACTCCCTGGGCACCGGCGGATCACAGACACTGGCCATCAACGCCCGAATGCTGGACTCCCTCGGCACCGGAGCCCGCATCAAGAGGGCTAGGAGGAGGTTTGCGGATGACGTTGTTTTATAGGGACCAGCCATGTTGTAGTTTGGGTGGATCAGACCCGTGATTCTGGCAGTCAATGTCCTTAACTTGTTTGACAAATGCTGATGCTTCTACTCCGGCACCTGCCCCGATGCAGGCAGCCACGTGAAGGTAGAGCTGCTGCACATTCAATTTCGCAACCCGGACGGCCATTTGCGCCGTCTTATTGGCATGCGCGAGTTCCAGGACAGTGTTCCAGAGCAAGCAGACATGCAAAACCCTGGTGGTATTCGCGAAGAGCGAGTCTCGAAGCAGCAGTGGTGGTAGGTAGTATTTTTAGCAGTCGTCGTCGTAGTAGTAACAACGCAGTAGCAGCTTAGTAGCACAGTAGTAGCAGTGGTAGTAGTATTAGTAGTACTAGTATTAGTAGTGGTAGTAGTA